TAAATGCAATTTAGCATCCAATCAGTATGGACGCGCTATTTCGAACTAGCAAAAAGCTATTTCAAAATGCATTTTGCGTGTAGACACGTTAGTTCGAAATAAGATATTTCAAAATAACTGTTTTGAAATTAGATATTTCGAAATAATGCTGTAGTGTAGACAAGCCCTTATTCCTCTCATCGAGAAGAATACAGGGATGTGGAAAGAACATGCCTGCTTTTTCGGAAACTGTTCTTCCGGCATCCAGGAAAAACTCTGCAGCCTAGCCATAGCCTCTGTGTAAGTATATATAGTCACTGTGTAATTACCAGACACGGGGAGGAGAGAGTCAGGAAGGAACCCAGCAAGGGGTGCTAACTTACTGAAGCCCGCTAAAAAAATAAAAATGGAAATCCTCTGCAGCCAGTGAGATCAATGGAAGGCGCACAGTGCGGCCTACATTAAGCGGGGCCCTGAGGAATACAGACTCTCTGTTGTGCTGACCTCCCAAGGAGTATGATGAGCGGCGGGGAGGTTGAGGAACAGAACAAACGATCGCTCTGAAACGTTAGAACGGCCCTGCTGGGTAGCTGGGGAAGCGGAGGGAGGATCTGTTAGATGGTGAGAAGCCTGTGGCACACACCGGGTCTGTGGAAAAAACCCCATGTCTTGTCCCAAGAGATTACTGGAGCAAAGGGGAGAGCTCAAAGACCTTCCAGCTTCCGGGAGCTTGGAGTGGGTTGGAAAAGGCGCCATCCTTCTACCAAAACATTTCAACACCTGCCTCCAAAACAAACAAAAAACAAAACAATTGAACTGGAATTCATTTTCAAATTCAACACTATCAGCTTAGGCCTGAATAAGAAATCCCTTAGGTTGTGTCTACACAGCAGTGTGATTTCGGAATGACTGAGGTGATTCCGAAATAACAGAGTCCGCGTCTACACACAAGCAGTGATTTGGACATAATGTGCAGCCGGAGGACTTCTTACTCCGACTCCTCTCACCCTCATTGTCTGAGGAATAAGGGCCGTCGGAGGAAGAGGGCTCGAACTCGAACTTCCTGTTGCGCCAAAAGCCGAGTAAAGCTATTTCGACTTCAGGTATGCTACTGACATAGCTCCAGTTGTGTAGCTTTTTTTGGCTTGAGCCCGGCTGTGTAGACGGGCCCTTAGAAGCCTGTGAAGCGGTTCACCGTCTTACGAGCGCCCTTTTGTGGCCGTGGGTGTGTCCACAAATTCCTCCACTCCAACAGGCTCTGGAAGAGGAGATGTTCCATCCCACATGGCTTTTCTGGTTGGTCACTTGGGACCAAGCTTTTTTTAACCTCCTTTTTGTAGCTGTTGGGGTTCGGGGAGCCCAGGCCCACTTGTTCCTCTGGGTCTTGGCCCAGGGACCCTGTAAGTAGTAATTGCCTGTTAAGCATCCTTGCTGGTCCACTGCTACCTCCCTCCCTGGGCCACTTCTCCAAGAAACTGCTCCATCCAGCCCCTTTTCTAAGGCCTCTGAGGCCAAGTTTTCACCGCACCCTGTCCAGAATTCTGCAATTTATTGTAGTCTATCACAGCCGGTCTTCAGCCTCTGGACCTGGGTCTGAAGTCCAGCTCACACTCGGAGCTGTCTGAGGTACCACTGTCTTCCCAGTTGGTCCCTGGGCCTGGGCTATACAGTTGTGACTGGTGTGGAGAAAGTGAATAAGGAAAAGTTATTGACTTGTCCCCATAACTTAAGAATGAGGGGTCACCACATGAAATGAACAGACAGCAGGTTTAAAACAAACCAAAGGACGTTTTTCTTCACGCAGCGCACAGTCAACCTGTGGAACTCCTCACCAGAGGATGTGGTGAAGGCCAGGACTTTAACAGGGTTCAAAAAAGAATTAGCTACATTTCATGGAGGATAGGTCCATTAATACATATTGGCCAAGATGGGTAGGAATGGTGGCTGATTCCGGGGGACAAATAAAGAGAAAACAGGGAGGGGTGTGGAGATCAAAGGGCCCGCTGCCCTTCACAGGCCTTGAGAGACCTGCCCGGTGGAACTCTGCCCGGATGCATGAATGGATATAGGAGCAAAACTACTCCCGACTGTCATAGACCCCTCCCTCAGCCAATCTATACTCCCTGCCTCTCCAGCTAGCTAAGGGTATGTCTACACTACCCTCCTAGTTCGAACTAAGAGGGTAATGTAGGCATACCGCACTTGCAAATGAAGCCCGGGATTTGAATTTCCCGGGCTTCATTTGCATAAGCGGAGAGCTGCCATTTTTAAAACCCCGCTGGTTCGAACCCCGTGCAGCATGGCTTCACGGGGCACGAACTAGGTGGTTCGAACTAGGCTTCCTAGTGAAATGAGGCGTACACCTCGAAAAAGATACACAAATTGCGAACTGC